GTTTTAGATTTTAGCAGTTTGGAGCAAATTACTTAGTTATTAAATAATAATTTTGGTGTTTTGATTAAAGATAAATTGTTAAAATGACGAATTTGTCAATAATAATAATAATAATAATAATAATAATAATAATAATAATAATAATAATAATAATAATAATAATAATCCAAACAAAACGATATACAAAATAAAATTAAAATTTAAAAAAAAATAAGAAGAAGACAAAAGGAAGTCACGGGCTCCCTTTGTAAATGATGTGGGATCATTTTGATATCACATTGAAAATGTTTGGAAAGAGGAGCAATGTTCCTTTTACAAACATAATTGCTTGCCCATCAATGTAGGCAAGTAACCTGAAGGGTGTGGTTGAGTGTAAAGGATTCAACCATCCTTAACGAAAGGTCAAGGGTTCGATCCTTGGATTTGGAAATGAAGCAGCCTTAAATCTCTAAGCCAGCTGTCCCACTCAAAAGAGGTGCTTACAATTTAGCGAGGGGATTAGTCACTATGTCCAACGGTGGAAACCCTGGGTTTACCAAAAAAAAAAAAAAATCAATGTAGGCAAGTATTGAGAAGTTCAAAGTCCTTTTTTTTTTTTTTTTTGTTAGAACTAAAGGAAAATTAAAAATGGAAAGGAAATATTTTAATAATAATATTTTACATCATCAAATAGTAAAGACATATTTTAAAAAATAGTAATGATAAATTAAAAATGGAACGAAAATATTTCATTAATAATATTTTACATCATCAAATTAAAATGGAACGAAAATTAGGTAAAAATAACACTGCATCTATATTCTAATTGACTGATTGATTGGAAATAAAAAAGAATAATTAACTGAAAATGAATCTAATATTACTAATTGACTGAAAATATAAAAGGAAATGAATATTAATAATTGACTGCAAATAAAAAATGATCTATAATTGACTAAAAAATGGTAAGATCATTGCATTTTAATTAAAAATGGAATGAAAATTAAAAATTGGAGGAAAATATTCCAATAATAATATTCTACATTATCAATAGTAAATGCATATTTTAAACAATAGTAAAGGTAAATTAAAAATGGAACGGAAGTTAGGTAAAAATAGCACTGCATTTGATATTCTAATTGATTGAAAATAAAAAAGAATAATTGGCTGAAAATGAATCTGATATTACGAATTGACTGAAAATATAAAAGGATAACTAATTGAGTGATATTCTACCATTATATATTTTCACGCAAGTAACCCGTCATGATGGAGAAGATGTTAGCTCTAGACGAAGATGAACAAGATTGTGTTGTCACTACCAATGTCGTCTACAAAGAGGTTTCAATAATGTGTAAATATAATCGATGATATTAATTTTTTTAAAATGAAAAAATTGCTATATATCTAGACAATATATATATATATATATATATATATATATATATATATATATATATATATATATATATATATATATATATAGAAAAGCGCTCATATGTGGTCATGTCATTAGGTGTGGTCGTGTGGTCGTATCTGGGTCGTTGAATCAGTTTAATCTAAAGGCAGTGGTAATTCTGAGAATTTTCGCGCGTTTTAGTAAGTGGGGGTGTTATGGTAATTACAGTGACCATTTATAGCGGGCGGGTTCCAGAATACACCAACAGTGTTGACAACATACACCAATAGTATAATAAAACACACCACAGTGAAACACACCAATGGTGTATTCCCGTGTTATGGTAATTACAATGGCCATTTATAGCGGTCGGGTTCCAGAATACACCAACAATGTTGACAACATGCACCAATAGTGTAATAAAACACACAACAATGTGATTTTCCCTATTCCGGTGTTTTATGACAAGTTTACCCTTACAGTTCTCTGGGTAGGAGAATGTGCGCGAAAATACTGGAAAAAATCTTGATTAATATGAATCATTAGATCTATCTAATCTAATGGTCTATAATTGACCATATGACCACACCTAACAACATGACCACATGTGAGCGCTCCTCTATATATATATATATATATATATATATATATATATATATATTCCATACAAATGAATATGGATAGCAATTCATTTCTATAACTGAGTTGTTAGAGAACAAGCACATTTACCTAATGTATGAAAATACTAAACAATGATAAATAAAATCTTCAAAATTATAGGACCGCATCCGTACATCTAGACATTAGCTATTAATTTGAGCAATTATTTGCACAAATTAAAGCAATGATAACATCAAAATATATAAACGATTCAAATCATATCTTTAAGTGCACTATATAATATTTGATGTTCTAATTTAAATAATTATTTATCGATTCATATATTCTTAATATATTACAACATATTCATTCCGTGCATCGCACGGGTGCAAATACTAGTTATTTAAAAAAATTAAAATAAAATACCCCAACTATGCACGTGGGACAGACAGGAAGCCTAAATACGGTGTGCGCTTCTATATCGCCGCCATAAAGTAACAAAGCCGCCGGAAAAGCCAAGTTCGCTTTTTTCTCAATTTCTTCTCTACTCTCTACTCTAATAATATAGAGTAGTTGTCTCCGTCAAGATTCCATTATATATTTAAACTGCTATCTGTTTCAATTATTGCGTATGTATTTGAGTTGATCGCTTAGACGCAGAATTGGGGTTCTCGAGAACAGATAAATAAAAAAAAATGGGGATTTCATCAAGATTCCAAATGGACAGGCCGTTCTTGATTGCTTCTCCTTATGAGGAAGCAAAGATCCGCAGGAGTCAAGAGTGTACCCAAGGTCTCAAATTTCTTTTTCCCTGATTTACTGTTCTAGGCTTTTCATATTGCTCTTCAGAAATTCAACCATCTTAATTGGGTTTTCATATTGCCCTTGTTCAAATGGTTTTTCTTTGTTGTGGAAGTTGCTAGTAATTAATTGGATAATGTTGTGTTTAATAGTTTGTTTGCCATTTTCACGAAAAGCAGTAGGCTGCTGCAATTTTTTTTAGCTTTAACAAAGTATCTAACAGCAAATATTGCTTCACACTTTACTACCCAGTACAATAGATGAATTTAATATAAGGTTATTGAATGACTGCTAGGTTGGTTAGTCTTAATACGTGTTTGGCTATTTTAGAAGTGAAACATTGGATGAAAATGCAAAGATGTATATGTGAAATTAAATGAATGCACCAATATGAAAGATCGCCTATTGAAGAGATAGAGACAAAATTGATCAAGATTACCATTCTAATGCACTAGGGAGAAAGTCTGATAAGTTGTAAGAGGCTTTGAAAGTTCGTGATAGAATTGTTTTTGTTTTTGTGTTTTTTTTTTCTTTCTTTCTTCCATGAAAAAGGCATATACTTTGTTATATTATCTGCTAGAGAATGTTTTTATTGACTGAAATCTTACTCTCTATCATTATTGAATTTGTTTTTCCTTATTTTGACATTGTAAACTTGCAGAGGGTGTTCGTGCTGGCGCCAAGGCTGCTGCAATTGCATGTGTTTCCAGCGCTGTTCCAACAGTATGTAAATGCGCATTGTTTTCATTCAAATCATTTTCTCTTATTGTATCGCCTTGCATTCTAGCCTCCTCATTATTTTCATGCAAATATCTTAATGTTTTTCGGTCAACAAAATCGTTTAAATGCCGTCAAATACAAGGGTATTTCGGTCTTCAATTAGTTTTTTTTTTTCAAATATATATATATATATATATATATATATATATATATCAGGTCAACCCACTTTGTATTTTAAAAAAAATTGAAATGCCATGTATTTAATGACATTTCAACGGTTTTGTGGATGGAGGACCAAAAAAAGTCATGCCTCAATAATACTAGGACTAAAGGAAGATGTTCTGAGAAAAAAAAGACTAGAAGTGGACTGCCACCTATAAATTTAGGACAAAAAATGGAATCAACTCTGCAAGCTAAATTATCCTGATTTTTTACCTTCCATCTGGGACTGTGGGACTATCTGGGTTTAAATAATCATGTTTCAAGAAGTTCCTGCAAGGCTGCAACGAGTTTCAGCAACCTATTAAATTCTGCAATCAAAACAGAATCCTTTGCGGGAGATTGTAGTAAGACTAGTTGCACTATATGAGTATATTCTTATTTCTTGAATGCTTAGCTAAAGCTGTAAGCTGCGTTTCTCACGTTTCCATTAGTATGATCCTCTTTTAAAAACTTGAAGAACATGTAAAAAGAAACATCATTGAATGGTATATTCTTTTCTCTGCCTTGTGGGATTTCTCTATCTTTATCTTACAGTCGCTTCCTTAAAATTTCAGTTGGTTGCTGTCCGAACGATTCCTTGGGCGAAAGCAAACCTCAATTACACTGCTCAGGCACTTATTATATCTGCAGGTATGTGATAATTCAAAGAAAATTCTTAGGCACAAATTATACCCGGTACAATCATGTTTAGTATACACGCTGTATTCAATGCTAATTGGCACCATAGAAGTTCTCGATAATTCAATTATATTCAACTGCCCACCTTTTCATAGTTTCATAAATTGTTCAATATTGTTCACGATGACCAACTGGCTGCGTAGGTACTGGAAGAACGAAATTTTTCTTTTTCTTGCATTGTCACTGTTGTAAACATCGGCCTAGGCGTCAATTAGGTGTTAGGCGCCCCTAGACTGAGGGGATTTTACCCTTGGGCCGACTAGGTGGCCTAGGCGCCCGAGTCAACCAACTTGGCGCTTGAGCTGGCCAACTCGACCGATTGATTTTTTTTTTTCTTATTATTATTACACGCGCGTCTAGGGGCACTTGACTAGCGCTTAGCACCTTCTACAACATTGTAGATTGTTACATAAATGTTTGCATGATTTCTTCACTATGAGATCGAGCTTACCTGTTTGGTTCTAATATTTTGTCCCAAACATTCGTTACGAGAGGTATTTGTTGCATGTAATGTAAATCGCGTGTAAATCCATCCAATGGATGCAATTATGTTTTCAGTTTTATGAAGCTAACTCTACCATTTGACGGCATTCTTCATTGCAGCTTCCATTGCTGCATACTTCATCACCGCTGACAAAACAATCCTGGAATGTGCGAGGAGGAACACCCATTACGACAAAACAACCTAAGGCGATGACATAGTAGTTGTGCTCTCGACCATGCCAGGTGCTGTGTTGTATCAGAGGAAAGATGATCAAGATCAACTCTTCTTATCCTTTGTGTACCTTCAAATAATGAAGTATTATGTTTTTTTTTTTTTGTGTTGAGCCCAAGTGGTGTTATACTATAGACTTCTGTAACTGATTTGAGTATGAAGGGAATATTTTTTTAATTATCAATACAAGTGTTGAAATTTTTGGAAGACTTTACACTAAAAAGAAAAAGAAAAAAACTCCTAAATATCCAAAATAACTCGGTGAGTCTAGATTAGAGGTGTCAAATGGACAATCGTTATGCTCTGGATCCGTCTCCAGCATGCTGTTAGGCACTGTTATTTTTTTTTCCTTTTTTATAATTTCAGATTCGTTATAGGAGTATATGTTCATAATTTTATTACTATATGTTCATAATTGTAAGTTTATAATGTCAGAGCTCTATGTTCATAATTCAATAAGTGTACATTCATACTTCCATAACTGTACATTCATAATTCCGTAACTGTACATTCATAATTCAATACTGTAACTTCATAATTTTTGAAGCTCTATGTTCACAATTTTAGAGCTCTATGTTCATAATTTTGTCACTATATGTTCATATTGTAAGTTCATAATGTCAGAGTTCTGTGTTCATATTTCCATAACTGTATATTCATAATTGCATAACTGTATATTCATAATTGCATAACTGTATATTCATAATTGCATAACTGTACATTCATAATTCCGCAACTGTACATTTATAATTCAATAACTGTAAAATCATAATTTTCGAAGCTCCATGTTCACAATTTTATAGCTCTATGTTCATAATTTTATCACTATATGTTCATAATTGTAAGTTAATAATGTCATAATTCTGTATTTATAATTTTATAACTTACATTCATAATGTCATAACTGTACATCCATAATCCCATAATTGTACATTCATAATGGCACAAACGAATAACGCCGTTAACGACAAGACAAAATCAATTTTTTTTTTTAACTGAAATGATGCGTTTTTCTTAAAAACGACGTTGTTTTGAACTCGTGTCTACAATGCCAAGTCCAGGGCATAATTTGCCTCAAATGGACGGGTAAACTCGAGTCTTGAAGTTCAGTACTGTAAACATGGTCGAACTTTAATTTGAGATCCATGAATTGAATGGGGTTGGTCCATTGGCCCGCATAGTTTTTCAAAGATATAATAATAATAATAATAATAATAATAATAATAATAATAATAATAATAATAATAATAAAATATAATATAATATACATTAACACAATTAACAATGTGTTGAACACTTAAAGTGTAATATTTTACTTTATTAATTAACATATATATATATATATATATATATATATATATATATATATATATTAACAATCATATAAGAACCAATCCTTAGGTAGGAACCTAAGAATTTATCTTGGTAATTTATTTACTGTAATTAATGGTCTAGATTAAAAGTTGATTTTGTGAAATTTAAGCGCTAGATTTGTAGTATTTTAGGTATTTAGGGATAGTTTTGGCATTTCCGGTTCGAAGTTGCTGCACGCGTCCAATTTCATCGCCCAGTTTTCTCGCCGTGCTTGTCGTACATTTCCTCCTCCCCAAACAACATGACCCTCACGCCTCCACCGCACTGCTGCGATGAAACGAGTCAAACGACTTTTGCCATCGCCTCCGACAATGCGATCTGCCTTTGCTACCTGGTACAAAGGCCTTGGATTCCCGGTGAACTCCATCAGAGTGATCTCCCTTTCCTCTGTTTGTCCGAACACATAGAGAAGCCATAGCGAATTTTTCCATCAAGGCTCTCTCTTCAGGTTCTTAGTTACGTAAAGGTTTTATACGCATTTGTGATTCGCTTTTATACACATCTGCATGCATCAGTGCATTTTGGTCAATTTTTTTCTTGATCTCATTCTAATTCGAAATTTCTAGAATTTAGTGATATGGACTGTGGAACTTAATGCGTGAACTGGACTAATTTTAAATTGTGTATAATTTCTGTTTATATGGTATTGAAGAATTGAATTCCGTGAAGTGAACCTTGGTTCTTCAATTCAGTGGTTTCTAATCTGTCAATCGGATTGACTGAGGAACGTGGACTGATAAAATGGAATGCAGGGAGTTCTCTTTTTCTTTGGGTGGAGGGATTTGTTATATAAAGGTCATTAGTGTTTTTATACCTTCTTCTATATTTTGAAGTTAAGCTCCAGAAAGCAGTGTATGCTAGCTACATGCAGAAATCATTGGGATATGATAAAAGAGAAATTATACAGTTTCATGCTATACCAATCTGTTGCAGAAAATCATGGCCTTGCATGTTGAGCTCTTGGCAAATCACTGCAAATCGTATCTTATTATCTGTCTTTATTATACCTTAAATTGAGTAGTTGAGTATTGGTTCATTTCAGGTCAGGATTTTTTGAGTTGATTTTCTATGGTTTCTCTTATTTATTCCTATAATCTTATCCTTTGATATTTCTTTTAATTATGTTCTGGCTAGTTAATACTGGAAGTAATGATAAAGGCTTTATGCTTTATGTATATGCACATACGTTCAAATTTTTTTTAGTCTCAAATCTACGTTGTGCATACAATTCTTATTTCTAGTGTAAACACTTAACAACTAATATACACACGTCTATTCTCGTATTGATGCAAAGTCCAAACGCGAATTTTTTTCCCCTTTCCCCCTCTTCTTTATTTATTTATTTTATTTTATTATTATTACAGTATAGTTCATAAATGCAAATGAGTCAAACATCAAACTATTCAATCAGTTCAAAACATAATTGAATTAATCAATTATACAAGTGCACATGTTGCGTCATATAAGTGCACACGTCATATAAGTGCACACATCGATTAATAAATGTGCGTACGCATATATGGGTGCACACTCTAGACTTGTTTGAATTATAATGTAGTTGAGACCACATAAATGAAAAATGCACAAATGTCTTCATGAATGCACATGGTGTATACTAAAACAGGTGAGTGACACAATGAGGTGCACACACGATTACAAAGACATACATGCACAAAACTAACGTTCAAAACAACTTAGTACACCACAATCACATGCACATTCTGTTGTACTAATATGCACAAACTGTATTTATTTCTACTGCAAACTCTTAACCACTTATGTGCACACCCTTCTTATCGCAAGGGCACACAGTTGAAAACAAATCTGCACATGTGTATGAACGAGTCCTTACGCTAGACCCACACATGCACACTCTGTAATGCATATATGCACAAATTGGCAATGCTATGTTCTGGGTATATGCACATGAATTCAAAATTTTAAAGTATCAAATCCATGCTTTGCACATCGTGTAACCTAAGTGCACAGAGTCAACCCAAGTGCCCACCCTAATCTATCCATCCAAGTGCACACCAACTTGTTTTACGTCTTTTCATCCACACACTCATTATTTGTGTTATGACACATAGTTTATCCCAAGTGCACAACATAGTCTTTAACATCAATCTAGTTTTGATACATGCACACATTCGTTAATCTAAGTGCACACAGCATTTCGTATATAAGTTTTCTTGAGCAACATGTCACAAATTGGTTGACCCAAGTGCACACACATTTCTATCTAAGTGCATACTCATCACAATCTAAGTGCACACCAGAATGTTTAATATCTTTTCTTACACAAACTAATTCTACAAATTATAGCACAAACAATGTAACCTAGCTAAGTGCACACAGTTAACCCAAGTGCACACCCTAATCTATTAACCGAAGTGCACACCAACTTGTTTTACATCTTTTCATCCACACACTTATTATTTAAGTTATAACACAAATGCACACCAATCACCTGAGTCTTTAATATCAATATGGTTGCACTTACTCTACGTGTTGTGTGGGGTAAGAAGTATGAAATCATGTTAGTATTGATATATTAAATGCTATTTACTTGCTTTTTGTTTGTCAGGAAACTAATGAATATGAAAAAAAAAAAAAAGATTTATTGTGTTTTTCAAGTTGCAAGTGTACACTAACTTGTTTTATGTCAGGAAAATAATTGTGAATATAAAAATTATTGTATTTTTCAACCCAAGTGTACACTATTGTTTTACGTCTTTTCATCCACACATTCATTATTTACGTTATGGCACACACAGTTTAACTAAAGTGAACAACATAGTCTTTAACATCAATCTCGTGTTGGTGCATGCACATATTCAATTCGTTAACCTAAGTGCATACAATATTTTGTATATTAGTTTCTTGAACATCATGGCACAAACTCGTTAACCCAAATGCACACACATTGCTAACTAAGTGCACACACAACACAATTTAAGTGCACACCAAAATATTTAACATCTTTTCTTAAGCAAACTAGTTCTGCAAATTATGGCACACATAGTTTAACCTAAGTGCACACAGTCAACTAACCCAAGTACACACCGACTTGTTTAAAAAAAAATAAACTTATTATATCCATTTGCGAATTCCATTGACGCTGCTATTCACCGGAAACCACGGACTGATGTACTTTTGCCGTTGAAAAATTATTCTGGATGAAACCACTAACGTGCAGCCACACAATCCTACTATAATTATTTCTCCTAAAATCAAGGACACAATATGTTTATTAAAATAATAAAGATTAAAAATCATTGTGTTTACTAAAACACCATTGCTAATTAAATCATACGATATTTGGACATAATCCGTTGCTAAATCTAGATTATTAATATCCCATAGATCAATGACTAGGATTAGTTCTTAGGTTCTCACCTAAGGAGTGGTTCTTACTTGAAGCCCACCCTATATATATATATATATATATATATATATATATATATATATATATATATATATATATATATGGTATGATGATGTATGGTATTGGCATGGGGATCCTAATGGTTGTTACTCAGTCAAAGACGGCTATCGACGCATAGTTGGAGACTATTCTAACGCTAATAATGGGGGTTTTGATGGATGGTTAGTCTTATGGAAAATCAAAGCACCCCCAAATGAAAAACATTTCTATGGAGAGCTCTAAGTGATATCCTCCCCACTAAGAGCAATTTGATTATAAAGAGAGTAGAAGTGGACTCGATGTGTGCCATGTGTGGGATTGCTCATGAAAATATTTTGCATTCATTAGTATCGTGTGTAGGATTGCTCATGAAAATATTTTGC